CGCTCCAGAGCGGTACTACCACGGCTCCTGAGCTACTACCGTGGCTCTTGAGCAGTAGTACCGCTCCGGACCAAAATCTCGTGTTTTGCTCAGCGGAGGTAGGCACGGAAGTATTTTTTTAGTACCGCTCGCAAGTAGTAGTACCGCTACCATTTGCGATAGTATCGTAAGGTCGAGCGGTAGTACCGTGAGGACGAGCGGTAGTACCGCTCCGGCGGTTCTACTGGCCTTTTGCCTCCTTGTTGTTGTTTTGCAAAGGGGTACTACCGCCCTAGCGGTAGTACCGCTCTGTGCGGGCTTTGAGCATAACGGTTGGATTTTTTCCCACCTATAAAAGGGGGTCTTCTTCCCCATTGAACCTTATCCTTTGAGCTCGTGTTCTTCCCCCATTGTTGACCTTCTTCGAGCTTGCTAACTCTCAATCCCTCCATGGATTCTTGCTAGTTTTTGAGGGAAAAGAGAGAGGAGATCTAGAACCACATTTCCACCAATCACTTTCTCCTCTATGTGAGGGGAACCCATTGGATCTAGATCTTGGATTTCTTGGTGTTATCCTTCTTGTTCTTCCTCTCATCTTCCTACCTAGCATTAGTTGCTTCGGTGGGATTTGAGAGAGAAGGACTTGGGCACTCCGTGTGCCCTTGCCATTGCATTTGGTGCATCGGTTTGAGTTCTCCACGTGATACGTGGAAGTTACAAGTTGAGAAGCTTATTACTCTTGGGTGCTTGGTACCCTTGAGCTTGTTACTCTTGGGTGTTTGGACACCCTAGAGCTTGTTCCTCTTGGGTGCCTTGGCGCCCTAGACGGTTGGTGTTGTTCGGAGCTCAATCATTGTGGTGTAAAGCTCCGGGCAAGCGTCGGGGTCTCCAATTAGGTTGTGGAGATCGCCCCGAGCAATTTGACGGGTACCGGTGACCACCCCCAAGGGTTACCAAAGTGTACGGGTTTGGTGAGCGCCCCCAAGGGTCGCCATTTGTACGGGTTCAGTGACCGCCCTCAAGGGTCCCTTAGTGGAATCACGGCATCTTGCATTGTGCGAGGGCGTGAGGAGATTACGGTGGCCCTAGTGGCTTCTTGGGGAGCATTGTGCTTCCACACCGCTCCAAACGGAGATTAGCATCCGCAAGGGTGTGAACTTCGGGATACATCGTCGTCTCCGCGTGCCTCGGTTATCTCTTACCCGAGCCCTTTACTTATGCACTTTACTTTGTGATAGTCATATTGTTCTTTGTCATATATCTTGCTATCACATAGTTGGTTATCTTGCTTAGCATAAGTTGTTGGTGCACATAGGTGAGCCTAATTGTTTTAGGTTTTGTGCTTGACAAATTAACCGCTAGGTTTATTCCGCATTTGTTCAAGTCTAAACCATAATTATTTTAAAGCACCTATTCACCCCCCCCCCCCTCTAGGCGACATCCTCGATCTTTCAAGGGGGCGGCGCCCCCCTCCTTCCTTCTCCCCTATTCCTCCTTCCCTTCCTTCTCCTAGTTGGAATAGGAAAGGGGGGGCGAATCCTACTTGGACAGGGAGTCCAAGTAGGACTCCCCCCTTTGGCGCGCCCCCTCTAGGGCCGGCCTCCTCTTCCTCCCGCCTTTATATATGTGGGCAGGGGGCACCCTAAAGGCACTCCATGATTTGTCTTAGCCATGTGCGGTGCCCCCCTCCACAGTTACACACCTCAGTCATATCATCGTAGTGCTTAGACGAAGCTCTACGCCGGTAACTTCATCACCACCGTCACCACGCTGTCGTGCTGACGAAACTATCCCTCGACCTCAGCTGGATCTAGAGTTCATGGGACGTCACCGAGCTGAACGTGTGCAGATCACGGAGGTGCCGTACCTTCGGTGCTAGGATCGGTCAGATCATGGAGACGTACGACTACATCAACCGTGTTGTCATAACGCTTCCGCTTTTGGACTACGAGGGTACGTGGACACACTCTCCCCTCTCGTTGCTATGCATCACATAGATAGATCTTGCGTGATCGTAGGAATTTTTTTAAAATTACCGCGTTCCCCAACAGAATGATGGTGGGATTCTTAACATGGCGTTGATATTCCCCTTGTAGAGCACATGGGTAATACTTCCATCTCTAGTGCATGCAATGAAGAGATTCGAGTGTACCTGACCATCCACTTTCTTCCAAGAGTGGGATGAGTCTTTCGGTGTTTGCGACAATTGGTTCTCTCAAGTATTGATGTCCAAACACCTCAACCACCGCAATAGCAAATCTGACATAGTGTCGGAACATGTGCTCCCAAAGATCCGCCATATGCAAGCATCCGCAAAGCAATTGTGCCCTTCTGGTAACCAGAAAATTCAATTCTTCCTACGACATACTTCTTCAAAATGAAGTAGTCATCGAAGCCCACCATTGTAGAGGCGATCGAACACATTTCTCCGCATCAGAAAGCGCCGGCAAAAATTGTCCGCGAATAGGGCATTGGGGGCAAAGTAGTCGTCCATCAGCATCAAATGCCACCGTTCCCTATTCCGATTAAGTACTCGATGACCCTTGATCGATCCCTTGAAATTGAGAACATGCTCTTCCGCATGCTCCTCGTATGCAAGGACTGCTTGCATCATCGTCACTTCATCCGCATAATCCTCCTCATTGGATGACTCAATGTAGTGATCATACAAGTACTCCATGTTGGAATCTATTGCTTCAAAGAAGGGAGAAAAAATATCAAAAATTTAGCACGGGCATTTCACCAAACACTTGCCAGGCTTGATGACCCCCATGGACATCTGCAAGGGCAGATGGTACCTACACGATGGACAAACAAGAGGTGGAACGATGGCGTAGGCAAAGCGGCGTGGCAACCGGGTGGAGTGGCACAGGTCGCAGAGGTCCAACAAAGGCTTGACGGACGACCGGGGTGATATAGTGACGTCGTCGGATAGGAAGGAAGTGGATGCAGAGCAAGGGGGATGAGGACGCGGGTGCCGGATGTGGTTTTGGGTGGGCCGAGGGTGTTGAGTCCTACGTGGCGGAGGTATGGACTCTAGCAAAGCCCCCATGGTTTGCAGGAAACAGACTTGTGAACACGTCCGCAAAACAATGCAGGATGACGTTGGATGGCTTGTAGCTTCCGAACAGCTCGGTCCAGACGTTTGCGGGTGAATTGAGGGTCTGCTTTGAAGAGGCCCTATGATATAAAATTTTGCATCGATGTTTAAGCTATACCCCCTATATCGTCAAATACCTAAGCTATTTAGCATAGCTCACCGCTAAAGCTATTATCTTCTCTTTTTTTAGGATAAAGCTATTATCTTGTAAATGTACATGTGCAAAAGTAGCATGTCACCAATTACACATGTAAACTTAATTCAAAATAACCATGTGTATTACTCCCTCCGTTCGAACTAAAACCATGACGAGTAATTTGGAACGGAGGGAGTACTAAATAAGATGAAGAAGCAGAAATCCTAGTAGGTGAACAATTTATTAACTCAAATGATAAGTGTCATACTTGTGGCACGAAGCACTCCAGACTTGATGTTTTTTAAACTAAAGTTATCATAAAAACACACACACACAAAACTAAAACTTGCCATCAGAAAGAAGTTGTCATGCTTGACGACTACTCCCTCCTTTCCAGTTTATAAGGTTTATCTCAAAATTTTAGTTTTTCCATTTTATAAGGCTCAATTTGGTTGTTCCCCATCACATATTCAGATTCCAAGGTGCATTAAATCATTACATGCAAGTATTAAGAGAAAATTGACCAATGCATGTACTTTATGCATGCATGCATTGCAATTAATGCATTGGTAAACATAATTTTTGAAGAAAACAAGAGCATTAATTGGATGTTTTTGCAAACTACAAAAGGTATTCCACCACTCATCATCTACCTTGGTTGATGAGATTTTTGAATTGAGCCCTATAAACCGGAAAGGAAGGAGTAAAGTTGCCATCCTCGTGTCACTAAACTTGTCATAAAAACGTTCACGTCATTCAACTTGCCATAAAAAACATTTGGAATTGACGTGTGTTCGTGCCACATGTGTGACACTTATCAAGGTCCTTTATTAAAAGTTCATGCTCTTTCCCTCTCGCGGATTCTATGCTATCTGGGCTATTCCAAATCTAAAAATCCGTGCCTCAGTTTTGTCTTGATTGTGAGTTTTTCTTAATCGTTTTATTACTTTAAAACATATTTGTAAATAACATCCGTGATAGCTAACACATCTATAGCTTGGACCTCATCGCTAAGCTATAAAAATGCAATTTAAAACCTTGATAACCACACAGCTAACCGGCCGCTCAAGTTCCTTCGTTCAAATTATGCACAAGGCTGGCATTTATTGACAAATAAATTATATTAGCAGAACATATGTCTCTTACAGTGAATACACAAGCCAAGCAAAGATGAGAAGATTCCAAGATCGCAAACAGCATGTGCTGCGGTTAAAAAGGTCGTAAATTACAACATTTTCTCTTGTACTTTTTTCCGCGCAGAAAAAGTTGGCCTACAATGGCCTACAGTGGATGTTTACATTTGAACATAATAAAATGAAAATTGAAAGCTCTCGTTGTAATTGTCCTATCCTCGGTATCTTCATGACGCGTTGGCCTGGTGTTGGATTCAGGAGCTTCATTCAGCTTGTTTTGGTTGCGGCACAGTTGACAATCTAAGCCTTAAACAGATTAAAAAGAAGAAATGTTATTATCAGCATAACATCGCACATCAAGCAGGAAAACCAACAAACAAGATGAACTGCCAACATACTGTGAATTATCCATTCGACAAGTGAAGACACGCATATTGGCAGAGTCTCCCAACATAAAACAGGGTTTTGACCATTATTATTTTGCAAATGAATATGTTAGTAATACATTTAAAATAATGCTTGTCATGACAAATTATACTTCCAATGAAATGTTAGTTTTCCTTTGATCAATGTATAATACATCATCTATTTGTAAGTCAAAGCTAGAGAAGTTTTACTGCATGCTTTCTAGGACCTCATATATTTGCAAATACTAGTAGGTAGCACAAGAGTACCTGAGGGGCTTTCTTTGAACAGTTGATGTTGATGCACGAGTAGCGCCAACTGGCGGGCCAGCAAGCTCAAGTGGCTTTTTAAAAATAAAAACAGAATCACAATTAATATCAATATACAAGCAAATAATAGTGGAAGAAGCTAAATCACACCATGCACTTAGAGATATATAAAGCATTAAGAGCTGAGTAAATACATATGAAAAAAAAGTTAGAAGGAAAAAAAATACCTCCAGCTCTTCCTCAGCCTTGCGCTTCAGATGATTATTACCATGAGAACTCAAATTACATGTTTGCCCCACGGTCCTTCCAGAACATCCTTCCAAAGATGATCCATGAACAGGAAGCACATGTTTATTGTCAGGCTTAGCTTGATACGATGCCAGCTCATCAAGCTCATCAACCACAGCCGGAGAGAAATTCACAGGATTATTTGCAGGAATCCTCTCAGCTTCCCTGTGTAAACTACTGAAACACATGTCCAACCCATTTGTTGGAGCACCATTGCTTGAAGTAGATGGCATACTGTTAGGTTGTGTAACTACATCCAACACAGCAATGTTCCCAGGAGGAGATGTACTTCCAAGTAAGTGCCCTGGATGTTCATGCTCAAGTGATTCTGTGTGAAGATTTGGATGCCCATTCAAAATACTTTGGGTTTCTTTACTTGATACACTGGGGACCAACAAAGAAGTACTTTGATAGCCACCAGAATGATCTAGAGCAGATTGAGGATCACTCCAACTTTCAGTGCCCAATTGATTTCCAACTTGACCATCAGCTGTAACAACGTTCCTAGAAACGGTGCGACTGCTCCTAGCTACTGTTCTGGAAGAACGAGGAGGGCGCACTCCACCAGGAAAGACAAATACAGGGATATCTTTTCTTTTTACATGGGACACTTCAATATCCATTCCTTCTCTCCGATGTGCATAAGCAAGAACTGCGTTCTTAAACTCATTTACGATTCCTCTGATATCAAATTGCTCAGCTTCTTGAGGTTGGGCAGTTTGTTTTCTCCAAAGACCCATGAAGTAAAAACTATGCCGCGGCCTGGATCCATCTGAGAAATCTCTGGGATGCGGATGCGCAAGGAGCATCTCATGAGTATATCGTTCAAACTACATCAGCAGCCAGAATCACATATTAAAACACACGCATCACACATTACTGAGAAGAATGAAAGTTTTGTTTTCAGTTATTCACCTTTAATACAAGCGTCCGAAGGCGAGACTCTACCCAACCTTTCCAATTCCTGAGGTCATCTTCATTTCTCGCTGTGATACCAACCTCCAAATAATTTTTATATAATTCAAAAAATGGATATGGCTCGAATAAATCATCCCAGGTTGCTCTATTTTCATCTATTGCCTGCAGTTATCATCAAGGGGAAATCAAGTCTGATGCAAGATATAAATAGGTTCCATACACGTGAACTCAAAATAGAAGTTCTAAACATAAATGCAAAAAGGTTGCTGCAATATAAGTTAACAGCAAAAACACATGCATTACAGTATGTTTTAGTCAGATAATTATATAGTAAGATAACAAATGGGGTGTTTCAGTTAGCATTACAGATGCATTGAGATAAATGTTTTCTGAGGATAAAGTTCAGACTTTTAATATCAATATGAATATATATTACTACTAGACAGTAGACATCAGTAAGATGAATATGCATTTGAATGCATGTTATGATTTTAATTACTGAATTCCTGTTAAATTATAAACAAATTATTCTGAAATAATAAGTACCTGGCAGATCTCGTATCCTCGTGTGAATTCTTGGATCATCACATACCTAGTACTAGTAGATACGTTATAACTAGAATTCATACAAGGATAGGCGGGTGTAATTATAGGCATCTGATGGCCCCTGTCTCTGAAGTTTCTTCTTGGATCCCAAACAGGGAGGCCAAGAGGACCCTCCTCAATATGGCAAAGTGTAACAGGGTTGGGCCACTTCCACTGGCTGTAGACTCTGAAAAAACGAGATATCAACATGCTGGGCGATGCATTTGGATACAATTGACATATACGAGCAACAAGAATTGCCCAATTTATGCCACCCAAGAATCCCATAACCTGGACATGCAAGAAAAATCTGAGTATCAATTTCACATTCATAGACCATAATACTGATATAATGATATGCATATGCACCGTAATGTAAACATGCAATCATGCACTGGACATAGCTAGCAGGGTACTAAGTATCTCCACATGCTGCAATTTGTTTTATTTACCCAACTACTCCCTCCGTTCCGATTTACTCGTCGTGGTTTGAACTAAAACCACGACGAGTAAATCAGAACGGAGGAAATATATTTTATGTGCAACGGTATTTTAGAAATATCAGTGAATAGCTTAAGAAAACGCTATTTTTTTGGTTCTCTTGTTTTCTTTACTTGTATTTTGTGTCCCATACTACCACAGCACTGCTTGAACAGTTGACCCCTAAACAACATGAAAGCTATTTTCGTAGATCTATTAAAGCAGATAAATGGCAGACAATCAGACAACTTATCGTTACATTTGGTGTCAACTCTTGCTTGAAACCAAATGGAACATAATGTCTTCTTTTAGAATGAAGCAAAATATTCTCTTGTTCTGTTGGCTTCCTCATGTAAAGTTTCCGGTCATTCCCTAAAAATGCATGTGCGTTCATACTTTAAAGCATACTCTTGCAGCGAGAAGAAACATACGTTTGAGTACACCCCACGGCGCTTCCCCCAGTATCTCATGAACCTTAAGGTTGTGCGAAAACTCTGGATTTGAGAAAACAAATAGGTTTTAGTCCATAGAATAATATTGACATGTTTACTTGAGAAACAGGTGACACATACCGGAATGTTTGGGACCAATCGTAATATTTGATCAGTAACTCGACACCCATTTAAACTACGAACAGCCTGTTCATCAACATTGTGCAGTATGGAGTCCTGAGAAAGATCAAGATCCTGAAATGGAATCATGTAACATGATCAGGAATTCATATCAAACATCATCAGAACATGTTATGAAATGATTCACGAGCTAAACAAAGCTAGGGAATAAAATGCTAAGCTAAATTTTCAGTCTTCCATTTTTTGGGGATGCAAATGCTTCCATTTTCTACTCATTTACTACAATGAGTACAATATAAATTTAGCATACAGTACCGATATATTGTTTAAATAACAAAGCTGTAAAACAAAACTTACATCAGGAATCACCACATGTGCAAGGTTTGCATATAAAAGGTCAATAGACACCCCACAAAGTTTGAACCCCAGAACGGGCACATGAGCATCTGGTACTGGGTGTAATTCAGAAACTTCTGGCATCTCGGCTAGCATATCGTGAAGACACCTGAAGAAGTAGTCCTGCAAAAAATAAAATGCACATTGGACACAATAAGACTGTGATAACTTTGGAATTTAGTAATAGATCCTCTTACATTTCGAGTTGCATGTCTTGGACCCACACATAGAGTGTCAATATCTGCACCAGGACCGTGCACCTGTGCAATAAGCAACAGAATAGGTACAATCACAACAGTAAATTTAGGTGACACAGATAGATAATCTCATAAAACAGCGACAGTATATATCTCTAGCAGCAAACCTAACTAAAACCACCAGACTCTGCACAGATATAGGCATATAATGACTAATGCAGTTGCATCATTTGATAGAAAAAACATACAAAATTGGCAAAAAGCATGGAAACACTTAACAAGTGACAAGTATTTCTTTAGAAATAGGACTAGACAAGAAACGGAGCAACGGAGTACCCCAAGGCGGTATGAACCAAATGTGAAGATCTTAGCATTTGCTTCTTGCACGAACTGCTCGCCATAACCGCTCACCCTAGTGGCCTTCTTAATCCAAGTTTTCACAGTCTGCCAGGACAAACAGCAAGTCGTCTTAAAACCGGTGTACCCAAATTATAATCCAAAATACAAGCACATCAGCAGAGTATGCTCAAACCTGGTCAAGTTTGCCTAAGACCTCTTCTCGCGAGACAGCCTCCTCTTGACTCTCATACAAGCCCGCATCAGCAAGAAACTGATAGACACCAATAACAACATATGAGCGGAACACATTAAACAGGAGAGCAACGGGAAATTCAAAAAATTGTGGTCTATCTGACACCGATATCACACACACACGCACCTTTTCGACCTCGGCTGTCTGTACGACATCCTTCTCAGTTGGCCCGCCTAATGAGATTGGCTCGGAGACGCCAAGATAACCAGGATTGCTCTTCGCCATCAAGGCTTCCAAATTATTATTTATTTTATTTTTCAATGAAAGGTTGATTGTACAAGCTTTATACAAAGCAAAGATGCTGGGGATACCAGCTTTACAAGGTAGGGTTCAATACAACACCAAAAATATATTACAGCAGTGGAATCAAACTGAGGCTACACGTCGCACTACCCTACGACAGCAGAAGCAGACCGACTCCTTGTCTTCACCGGCGCCTGGCTGCTGGAGGGCCAGGCTCCACGGTTCAATCCTCGGAAACCCTCCCTGAACGGCGGATCTAACGGCGTGCCGGC